GCACTTCCCTATGGGCCTGAGAGAAGAAAACTCAGTCACGCCCGTCTCTCCCCGTCAGCTAAACACAAGCTCTGAAACAAAATAAGGCAGGGACCCTCAGAGAGATGCTTCTTACATGTATGTACTAAAACAGTTGCTAACAATGGGAATGAGCAACTTCCATGTTGATTATTCCTCCCTCCCCCTAACAGTGGAGAACTGCGAACTGCTCACTTTATGCAAAATACTAGCCCACACTTTCATTAACCTTTTGGAGGCAGAGGAATAAAAATGATGCCTGAATAAGTGCACGAAAAGCAACTGCTTCAGTGCATGAGACGCTGGCAGCCAGGGAAGCACAGGCTGATCTGCGAGTGAGACCTGTAACCAGGACAGCCCCTCCGCTCCCGAAAGGCCCTCCAGCCTCGCTGGCCACCCCAGTCTCCTGGACGCCTGTGGCCCAGCAAGCAAGCCTCCTGCATAGCACACCTCCCTGTCCCTGCAGAGTGACTGCCCAGCCTTCTGATGCCACCGCGGGACCCATGTGTGTGCTGTGAGGATGACTCATGGGCATCATCTTCTGACTTTCTCCATGATTCACCAGCTCACCCGTACCTACTCTTGGACTATGTGTGGAGGCCCCCAGCAGGTCCCCACCAGGTGGTTTGACTTAATTTTCCTTTCCTTAGTATAAGCCTGGCCAGTGAGAGGAGTGGGAGACGACTCTTGGCAGGCGCATGTGTGTGTGCCACAGAGTGTGAAGCCCGATCTGCAAGTGCACATGACCTGCCCGCCTCACAACAAGGAGCTGTGACACAAAGCACCTCATTACGACCACGTTATGATTAGATTTAACTGAGAGAACTGAGTCATTGTGCATTCCCCCACATGACGCTGTGCAAATCCCCAAATCACTCCCCACTGCTGAAATAGAGAGGCAGCTGAAAACCAAGTATTCATATGAACCCGTGCAGACCCACAGCTGTGTTCTGTGCACCCTGAGATTAAGGTAAGTAGAGAAATCTTGCAGAGGCAAAGAGGGCCCTCCTCTGAGGCCCTCCTCTGGATGTCAGCCTCGCCCTTACTGGAAACATTTAAACGATGAACATCTCTGACTCACGCCATGGATGGGTCAGAAGGGAGCCAACTGTGAAGGTCATACGGGCCCTCCTCTGGATGTCAGCCTCTCCCTTACTGGAAACATTTAAATGATGAACATCTCTGACTCACGCCATGGATGGGTCAGAAGGGAGCCAACTGTGAAGGTCATACACTGAGTCCCCACTCATGTGCACACTTGAAACTGCAGAATCGCAGTCAGAGGACAGTGGCTGCTGGGGCTCAGGACACGGGTGGAGGGTCAGTATGCAAGGGGGCCTGGGCAGCTCTCAGTGACCTTGGCTCACTGAGAAGACCGGGGTGAGCACCAGTTCGGGGCCCTGTCCTGGAAGGGAGATGAAACCATTTACGGTGCTTCTCTGGGAAAATGTCATCTGAAGACCAACTAACTTCAACTCACAAAAGTGGGCAATGCCAATCCTGTGCTGTCTGTGCAGAACTTACAGGCATTTATGGGCCATCTGATCCCACAGAGCAGTAGCTCGTGGGACAATGCAAGGTCCCACACCGTCAGAAAGCAATCCTTTGTTGGTTTAATACAAGAAATTCCATTTGGAAAAAGCAGTTGTAAGACTGGAGAAGTGCGGTTTACACTCTTAGACTAAGGGGTGGATGTAGATGAATGGGGGGACATGGGGTGGAATGAATGGATCCTCAAGTGAGGAACAGAACCTTGTTTCCCTGCCGCTCCTTTCCGGGTGCCCGGCCATCAGTCGCCTTCTGCTCCTTCCGTGGTCCCTCTGCTGCCTCCACAGCGACACCTCCATCCTGGCTCCCGTTCTTCCCTCTGTCTTGGGCGAATCCTTTCCCCCATTTCAGTTCATCTTCATTCCTTCTTGAAAACCTGTCAAACCCATAGGGAGCTCTGTGCTTTCTGCCCTCATCCAAGTGGTATCTTTGTGTTTCAAGCTCTTTTTCTCTAAATCTCTCCACATCCGTCTGCTCTTTATCACTGTCAGTGTGTGACCTATGATTCAATACAAATCATCAGCAAGTTCATGTAAATGGCTTGTCATCCACCTGCCTTCCTTTCTAGACTGTATGTTCCAAAAAGGCAGGGAACACCTGGGTGGTGCTCACCCTGGACGGCTGAGTCTGCACAGTGACGGCACACAGCAGCCGTTCAGAAACAACTGCTGAAAAGATGAACAAATAAACAGCAATAACTGTAATACCTGCCATTATACTTGACTGACAGGTATGTAATGAGTGTTTTCCAGTTCTCAATAACTATCCAAAGTAAATATCACCCCCTCTTTTTTACAGAGAAAGTGAGACTAAAGGGGGTCGGATGACTTCCCCAGGAGCCCAGATGCACGACCAGCATGGTGCAGACTGACACTGACAGCCTAATCCCTGCTCCAAGCACAGCTGCAGCTAACTGAAATTTAATAATGCCTGACTAATTATATGTATGTATAAATTAGAATATTAAATGAACAGGAAGTAAATAAATGGTTGCTTAGCTCACTGGGTTCTTACACTCTTTCCCTCCATGAACCTGAGAGTCCTCACACACCTCACAGGAAGGATCTACAGGCACAGTATGAATTCCTGCCAGAAGTATGGGAGTAAGCACTGCTGTATCATAAACAACAAAAATGGAAATATCTGTGACATAAACTGCAGTGTTAAAAGACCATGGTTTTGATAATCGTGTATAAATTAATTTTAGAAACAAACCAATAAACCGAAACCCCCAAAAGAGGGAAAAAATGCTTTATCAACAACTCTGTATGTAAGGCAGTAACAAATCATTCAGATTATTGTGAATCTGGGAAATTAGCAGTCCAGTGCCATGACCATACCATCTACCCTCCCAATGAATACCCACTTCCATCAGCCCATGAGCAGACCCGCCCTGGGCACTAGCCGACAGTCAATGTCCAGATGCAGGACATGGGCAGGAGCCCTGGGTCAGGGGACAACACTGAGGACCCCAGAGAAGAAGGCAAGCCCAGCTGCACATGGCCCTGCAGATGGTGGGGGTCAGGGACAGGGGGATGCCAGGGAGGGGCTGTCATGTCTGTCCGCACAGAGCTGCATGTCATGAGTAAAGGAAGAGAGTGGGGCAAGACCAAGGGATGAGGCATGTACAGCTGCTGATCAGGAGGGGCGACGACTTCCACAAAAGACTGAAACTCTATTTCTTTATTACAGAAGACCTGCAGGCCTACAAGACTGGGTTCTCAAATTTACAATTCTGTAGATAAACTGAAGGAGGGCTGGAAGAATGAATGAACAGCATATTTCAAAACAGAGAAAAATGACAGACTGATAAAAACCATGAAGGAAAACAGACCGGGCAGATCCTGAAGTCCTAACGCGCAGCACAGGAGGCCAATGGGAAAGGCTTCAGAAGGGAAAGAAGAGGGTGAGGAGGCAAGAGTTCAGGCACCGAGAGAAAGAAACCCCCTGGACGTGACAACAGGCTCGAGACTGCAGGGAAGATGGGTTTCCTAAGTTCCTGGCAGGTCTGATGAGAAACAAAGACAAGTGTACTGGCCTAGCCTGGCAAAATTCTCGGATTCCAAGAATGCTGTGAAATAAACACACTGTACTGACACAGGACACATCACCATGACCTGATGCTGACGTGTCACAGAAACTCACGCTGCTCACCTGTCCCTGAGCTCCTGTGGCACGCTGTCCATGGGCCTGGCTCTGATGGCTGCGCAGGAGGCACACGGCTCCCATCTTCCACCTCCGGCATCAGCTTCCTCTCCTCCTTCCTTGGGTTGTTCTGTGGTCAGTTCCTCTCCCTTTTCTGGTTTCTTAAGAAGCTGAGAAATTATAATGTTAATAAAATATCACCTCAAGAGCATATTAAAAAAGTTGTTAAATAAACTAATCAAAAATATATACTAATATTGGGCCCAAATGTTTGAATAGCAAAAGAATGTAAGTGAGAGGTCCAAAAAAAGGTTTTGGTTCAATACGTAATGGGACACTTCGCCAGTGAAATATTTTGTGGTTATGAAAAAGATGTAGGATAATCAATGTGATGAAAAGATGGTCATATTAAGGAATAAAAGGATGTTACAAAAGAGTTAAGTCTTGTATATTTCTTAATAGATACAGGGGAGGCTTCTGAATGTTTTCACCACAAAGAAAGGATAAACACCTGAGGTGGCTGACACATTAACAACCCTAACCTGATTGTTATACAACATACACATGCATCAAAACATCAGATTGTACCCATATGTCTGTACAAGTACAACGTGTCAACTATGATTTTTTAAAAAGTTACAAAGCAGAACATGCACAAAGACCCAATTTCTATTTGTATGTTAATGTCCACACAAATTCACACACACACACACACACACAACTCTATCTCCAGGTTCTCTGCAACAGATTATGGGTGTCAGCACTGAGACGATTTCCTTTTCTTTCATCTACAGGTTCTAGCTTTTATAAAGCACTGAGACGATTTCCTTTTCTTTCATCTACAGGTTCTAGCTTTTATAAAACAAAGTATTTTGCTTTATATGGATGACTTTTAGAATAGTTTAGTTTTCAAACATTTATTATTCTCTCTCTTGAATCAGAGCAAGTGCCTGGGATGCGTCACGTGGTTCGTCTCTGCACTGACACATTCCCCACTCTCTGGCTCACTCTTCAAAGTTTAAGCACCACAGGTAGAGTCATTTCTAGAACAGAAACAGAAAGCGTACTTCGGAGAATTCTGAACTCACTCACAAAAGTGGACATATTTTAAACTGCAGTGTAGCAAAACTATACACAGATATATGTGATTACATGAGTCATTTCTCATCAAACGTGTGCACTAGGTCTGCCTGTGTACGTCCTCTTGTTCTGCCTACAGCATCCGTGAACTTACACACCTCCCTCAGGTAACTGGGATACATTTGGGAGAAATGCAAGCCACAGGGAAGTGCAAGTCTCCATCCGTCCAGCCATCCAACAAATAACCTTGCGCACCTGTGCGTGTTTCTACTCATTACGCTTCTGACAGCAGGTGTGTGGTGTCTCTTCCAGCACCACCTCATCTCTCCAATACCAGCTGGCGTCCTACGTTCAACTTGTTTCTCACATTGTCTGCCTGGAGCTAGCATCAGATTCCACAGTTTGAGGACTCGGTTCCACAAGACCGCCTCCACTTCACATGGCAGTTGCAAGTCCTAGGGTGTCACTGGACTTCTGACCAACCACCTACAAATTCATGGGGTTCCCATGATCCACACTCAGATGTGATAATCTGCTAGAATGGCTCACAAAACTCAGGAAGGCACTGTACTTACTGTAACCAGTTTATTATAAAAGATTCGACTCAGGAACAGCCAAATAAAAGAAATGCATGGAGGTAAGTATGGGCTGAGAGGTGGATCAGAGCTTCTGTGCCCAAACCCTCTAGCACCTCAATGTGGTTACCAACCCAGAAGTGCTGTCTTCTAGGTGTTTTTAATGGAAGTTTCATTACATAGGCATAACTGATTAAATCACTGGCCCACTGGTAATTAACTCATTCTCCAGCCTCTGGCCCATTCCCCCTCTCCCTTCTCAGAGGTTAGAGGTTGGGGACCAGAGGTCAGAGGCCGGGGGATGGGGCTGAAAGTCCCAACCCTCTAATCCTGCCTTGGTCTTTCTAGTGACCAGCCCCTGTCCTGAAGCTCTGTAGGCCCCAGCCTCCAGTCCTCTCGTTAGTGTACAAAAAGACACTCATCACTCTGCAGACTCCAAGGGTCTTGGGAGCTGTACACCAGGAACATGGTTGTGAATGAGACAGACATGTCCCTGTATTGAAAGAACTCTCACCTGACATTCTAGCTGAAGGAGGGGTGGTCAAGGGGATAGGGGAACAGTGTACACAATGACAAAAAATATAAAAAAGGAAACAAAGGAATAAGACAATTTCAGTTGGTATCAGGTGCTGTGAACACAAAATAAAAAAGAGTAAATGGGGTGGAGACATGGAGTGAGGGGAAGAGGCAGTGTCCAGAGGCTCTCTGTGAAGACAAGACGGGAACTTAGAGTGTGAGAAGGAGCCACAGGTGTTCCTGGGAAGTTCCCTGTTAGAGAAAAATGCAGACATGCCAGAGGTGGGATCAGCCAGTGAATCTGAAAAACAGAAGTAAGAGCAGTGAAGACTAGCTGGGGAGCAGGCAGGAGAGAAGCTGGGGCGGGTCTATTGGGAGGCCAGCGGCTGCTGACAGTGTGGCTTGTTCACACATGCAACCCAGTCTCACATGCACCTGCACACACACATCCACATCTGTGCTTACACTCACACATGTAACCCGGCCACACACACATGCACTCATCTGTGCTTCTGCTACATATGTGCAAGCTGGTTACACATGCACACATCTTTTTTTAAAGAGCTTCATAAGAATGATCTCAGTTTTTCTAGACAATGTCATCAATACCCTACAATTTATGTATTCATGAATTTTATTCATGACTTTGGTATCCTAACTTCCCACTTCAACTTAAGCTCACTGCTTGGTTTTAGTCTCAGAGGAAAAGGAAACACAGCTGGGTTGTTCTCCTTGAGTCCCATTTCTCTACTGTTAACAGAAGCCGTGAGGGTGACCCTCTGCAGCTCTACCTTAAGGCTGTTGTATTTTGGCCTCCACAGATTTTATTTTTCAGTTTTTTTAAAACTTAAATTCTCCAAATAATTTATAAGAAAGAGATCCCCAAATCGAGTGCAGATCCTTACTGAAAGCTAAACTTGGGGTTAGATGACCCAAATCTCACACACTGTTCAGCCACAATTCCAGACTCCTCAGGACGAAAGCCAGGGTGACTCATGCTCACTGGGGCCCAATTTACCACCAACATTTTGTTTTAGTGGATCTGGAAAAGACTAACTCTTTTTCTTGCTGCATTTATGTTCTGATTTCTTCTTTTCTGTACGAAGGTATTGAACTTACATTTACTAACTTAAATTTGTCTAATTTCTTTGGCTTACTTTGGATCTAATTGCATACTCAACAATGTAAAAATAAAATGGAATATTCCAAACACTTTCAAGTCCTACTTAAAATTATAGTCGAAATTATAGGCTACAGATTTCAATGGTTCTTTTTGAAAAACTCTCAGTAAGAAGCTGTTGACAAAAGTGATTTTGAGAATCAAAGCATTAGGTACTGGGTTGGCATCTATTCTTTGTTCAGAAAGGTAAATGAGAAGGTTAGACGATATTCGTGCAGTGTGACCATAAAATTGAGAAAATGTCATGACATGACAGAGTTGAATTTCTGCAATGACAAAGACATTCCCTGTCATATTAATGTTTTGTTTTATTAGTTATCTTCCAAGGGCTGTTAACTTTTACTTTTGAGACTATGTTTCTTACAGGAAATATATTTGCTACAATTTTGTCATGCAGAGTTGTGTCTGTATCCCTAAATAAGCAGGAACAAACAGAAAATACTGTCTCAGAGTCGTTTCCTGAGGAATACCCTGGCTTTGCCTGTCCTTGCAGACATGCACTGGGCCGTCTTTACTTAATGGTCTTGGTTGGGTTCCTCAATTTTATCAATGTCATTACCAGATTATAGATCTGTACCCAAAATATCAACGTTTCAAAGCCAAGTTAAAAGAAACTACTTGGTGACTGTTTTGGGACAAACCGTTTACCCATTCATCTTGTACATCTATTGTTCATCTTTGAAGCAAATGTGCTCGAGCAACATTACCTGGCTCCTGCCCGATACCTTTCATAAGGCTGTATTTTGCAAGAATGTCCTTCAACTTTAAAGAGAGACACGTCAAGAAAAAGTCTTCAGAATTTATGTTATTCATTAGAGCTGTTCATCAGACATTTCAGACACATACCTACCTGCTTGAAATTAAGTGGGGCTGCTTGACTTGTTTTGGCCAACAAGACATGGGGAGAAATAGCACGTGTCACTTCTGCATGGAAGCATTAAGGCCTTGTGCAATCTGACACTAGTACACTTTCCTCTTCTGTGTCATAAAGACTGTGGAAGCTAATGCCAACAAAGGGCCTCCATGAGCTTGGGGTCACCACGTGACTGCCATGGCAATGTTGTGCCTGTGCACAACCGACTCACAACACGAACAAGAAATACGCTTCAGCTAGGTGAGACCAATGAGATCTTGAGACTATCTGTTACTGCAGCATCACCTAGCCAGTCCTGACTGATACCCATGGTTGCGTGTTTTCATAAGGATGCTGTTAAAAAATTTTTCTCTCCATCACAGGTCAACCCCATGGGAGAAGTGAGTTTAGATCAAAGTCCTAGAAGAAGCTCTGCTTCCCTTGAAGAACAGTGTTCTCCTTATGATGTGTGTTCTCTTCAGAATTTGAGTTCTATTCATATATAAGGAAATCTACATTTCTGCATCAACTTTTCTGTTTTGACTGCTGAGAATGTTCAGTATGTCATGACATGACACAGTTGAATTTCTGCAATGACAAAGACCTTCCCTGTCATAGTAAGGTTTTGGTTTATTAGTTATCTTCCAAGGGCTGTTAATTTTTACTTTTGAGACTATGTTTACTGTGGAGGGTTAGAAATCTTGATTCTCATTTAATTTTTAGAATAGGGTTTTTAGGTAAATGCATGTATGGGGCAAAAGCCCTTGGGTAGGAGACCACAGTCTACAGATAGAGGGCAAAAGCCCATTTAATCAATTCTAATTAAATAATGTTGATTCTCATTTGATTTTTAGAATAGGGTTTTTAGGTAAATACATATATGGGGCAAAAGCCCTCAGGTAGGAGGCCACAGCCAGAGGGCAACAGCCCATCTAATCAACTCTAATCACTGCTTAGGTATGGGATTGTATACTTTAATGATTTTAGAGCTAACAGGTGGTTGTCATACTGATCCTTTAAGAGATTTTAAGAATTGCTGAAGGGAAAGATGTGAAAAAGATGTTTGCTAGGGGCAAGCTGTCTGTTAGGGGAAATTTTAGAGATAATTGTACTTAGATTTTATCATAAGAATGTAACTTTTGCTTAAGGAGAGGTTATATTTTAGATAATGAGCCAGTTTGACCACCTTAGCTTTATCACAAATTGTACTTTGGAATGTCATATTGTTGATTTTACTGATGTTACTAGTTTCCATTGCTTAAGCTATACTTAGCCATAGATAACTTTTGTAACACTGCCCATGTCCTTGTGTCCCTTTGTGATGACTAAATCAACTGAATTTTCTTGTGAAACTTCCTTGTCTTTACAATAAAAACCAGAAGCTAACTTTGAATCAGGGCTGTACCCAGTTTTCTCCTTCTAACAGGGGAGTTGCTGGGGTGCAGACCCTTTAGGCTTCTCATCGCATTCACGGTGCTTTGAGTAATCCTTTTTTTGTCTCTGTTACACAGTGAGAAGTGTTAACAGTTTATTACAGGAAATATATTTGCTATAATTCTGTCATGCAGAGTTGTGTCTGTATCCTTGAACAAGCAGGACCAAACAGAAAATACTGTTCTCAGAGTCGTATGACTCAATTATCTCTCCCCCACCCTTTCCTTTCCTAGTCTATCTTTCCCCAAGTCCTGTTTTTTTTTTTTTCCTTTATATTATACAAGTCTATTGAATCCCTATAAGGTACCTTAAATGCCTGTGGAGTGAGATAAGATACACATTAGGTTGAAATCTAGGTTTAATAAGGTCATCTGAGCAGAATACTAAGACGATCAGATCCTAATTCTGGACAATACATTTTAGAGAGAGAAAAAATTCCCTCTGTGCATGAAACCACCTTCATGAGTGGATGAAACTGGGCAAGAGACTGAGTCAGCTTCACAGGAAAGGCCAAGCCAGGGGCTTTCGGATATGTGCTTTTTGGCCAGGAAAACTTTTCTTTAAAGGAAAATGTATGCGGAAGCCTGAGATGTAACATTTAAACATGGGGCTCCTCCAGGCAACGCACCCACCACTCTATACCAGGAGCTTGGCCTCCCTGCCATCCACCCCCCAGTCCTCCAAACAGCAAGTCCAAGGAACCCATAGAGTTCTGCAAACACAGTTTGAAATTTACTGTTGTAGAATGGAAAAAAAGGAACTATAATAAAAAAAGATGAGATTAATTTAAAATGTCTTTAAAATTCTAAAGAGCTAAGATACCTGAAAGGTATAATTAGTATAGCAGAATTATTTTTGGAAAATTTAATGTTTCCTCAAAATTACCTTAATCCTTACTTCTTTCTCAGCAGTTTTCTTTTGCTTATCGGCCTCTTTTCTTTTACATCTTTCCTCTTCTCTTCTTTTTTCTTCTTCTCGTGAGCGTTTCTTTTCTAACTCCCTCCTCCTCCGTTCTTCTCGCTTCTCTTCTCGAATTCTCTAAAGACATGGAGAAGCAGGTGTATAAACTGTCTGAACAGAATCAGCAGAAGCAGGAAGGACACTCATCAGTGAAAAGGTCAGACCTACCTGCTTTTCTAATTTTCTATTTTTAACATATTCCAAAAGAGGTGTGGTTCTTCTAGCTAAAACACAAAAATTGTAATGTAGTATTTAACTTTCTTTTCTTTATTTTAAATGCTTGTTTTAAATTTACCTTTAACATCTTAGGGCAGAATATTACTGTTTTTTCAGTTTACAGGCGCACACACTGTACCAATGTGGGTTCTCATTCCACTACTACAAAGTCAAAAAATGTGGAGCTACCAACAATTTTATGCATAGCAGACATGTAATTCTTGATTCTTAAGGGAGTCTTAAAATATTACAAAGATGGCATATGAGTAAAATGAATACAACGCATTACACTTCCCAAATGTTAATGAGTATCTCTTCTCACTTCTAAAGGTATCTGAAATCATTAAATAACATATTTATATGTTCACTTTGATTCAACACATTTTCTGCGAATTTCTTCCTTTTCTGCTCTCCATAGACAGTGGTTTTGAGCAACATGGACGCCTGTAATTTCTTATAATACGCACTCTGTAAAATCAGAATGACGGGACATAAAACACTATAGCACAGAAAATGACTCCACATGGCACCGTTGATTGAAAAGGCACCAACTACCAAGGAATGAACATTTCCACAACCTCTAACTTCATCCTCAACTTTTATGCCCCGACCACTCTGGCCTGACCTGGCTGTCAGGTGCCCAGACTACGCAGGCCCACAGGCACTGCCTCTCATAGGGACTGGCTCTGAGATGGATGGATCCCTGGCCCACAGACATGAGAACGGGGTGGGAAGGTGGAAGATGCTCTGGGTCTGTTCTGTGAGTTTGTAAAATCTCAGATTAAATGGGGCCAGGAAGAATCCCTGGATGTGCCTGAAAACTGACATGACATTTCCTGTACTGTGAAGATCAGGAACTAATCAGGATTACAGCAGAGCCCTTATCCAGGGATCCCTAATTTGGAATTAAGGACCCTTGACACCCTGACATGTCGTATCAAATGGCATCTGCCAGAGATGCTCTGCCCAGGCATGGTTGCTGTAGGGAGGAGCTGCCACAGGGCAGAAGCCCACATTCTGTGTCAGGTGCTGCAGCCACGGAGAACCCACTCCCCCCAGGTGGCTCCTGGGCTGACTACAAACTCTGTCGGGGTCAGTACAGCTGGCCAGCTAACATCAGAGATCAGCCTTTTGTATGGGCACATCATCTCAGATCAGCCTGCTCTGTGGAAGGCCTAGACTTGCTGGCCAGAAGCAGGTGAGACCACCTCGAATGAGCTCCACAGCCTGCATCCGCCTGCCTCCCCTCCTCTCCTACAAAACACCTGCCCCGTTACCCACAGGACTCACGTGAAGGGTAAGGGGGACTCTGTATGAGAAAGTGCTTCACACAACATAAAGGTACATTATTTATTAGATAAGACATGCATGACCATGTGATGTAACACTAATTGAACCAAGAGAAGTGCCTGTTGCTGCCCGCACAGTGCCTTACCCACAGGCACTGCACCATGTGCTCTATACATACCATCTCACAGAATCTGTGAGCAAACGGGGAAACTGGGGCTCAGGAAGGCCACATGGCTGCAAGTCTTAAGCTGAACCTGAGTCTGTCTGCTCTAAAGACCCAACATGTGCACCACACCAGCACAACAACTTGAGAGTAATATTTCCATTTAATCCTCACTTGTCAGACTTGCTCGCAAGGATCCACTAAAGGCCAAAAGCTAAGAAGAGAAAAAGGCAATGTGCCATGAATTGCTCAGTTAAGATTCAAATTTAAATTGTTAGAAACAGGAATCACAGAAACAAGACTCAGTGGCCTGGTCCTGGACTGAGTTCGTTGCTCACATTAGGGTGCTGAGTTGCATGCGTTCATTCAACCCATATCTGTGCAGCAGGTCCTGGGGACCAGCCACTCTGAAGAACAGCTGCTGGAATCTGCAAGAGGTTTTGTGTCTGACCCGCAAAGGGAATGTCTCAAAACAGCCCTGCAGCGACAGATCCTGTAAAGGGGACATTCAAAATAAAGCAAGGGAGAAATGGGAGGAGGGGCAGGAAGGCGAGTTCTGAAAATAACACTCATTTGCTTTTTCTTTCTTTTTTTTTTTTCCTTTTTGTCTTTTTTCGTGTCCGGCAACGGATCGCAACCCTCAGTGTCGCGCCCGTACTGGACCGGGACCGGCAACGGGATCGCAACCCTCGGCGTCGCGCCCGCACCTCGCTCAGCCAGTGAGCGGGAACCGGTCTGTATGTGGGATCCGAACCCTCGGCGGGAGCGCCGCCACGCCCCCAAGCGGCACACTGTAGCAGTGCACCACCGGGCCGGCCCTCATTTGCTTTTTCTAGTTCTCAGATTTAACAGGTTCTAAGTGAAATCTTGATTCTGCCCCAACTACTGTCTCTCGTCTCAGTCTTCCCAAGCCAGGAATGGTGCCACATCCACTAATCTGCTCAAGTCAAAACCCTGGTGTCTTTCATTCCTTCTGCTCCCTCTCCTCCCACAGCCACTCCACCGCAGTCCTGTCTACTCCCCTCCAAGATACATGCTGCGTGTGCCAGCCTAGTTCAGGAACCTCCCCTGGACTACAGCAAAAGTCTCCTACCAGTGACCCTGCCTCTTCTTTTGGTATCCACAATCCAGTACATGTGGGGCAACCAGAGTGATGGGAACAACCAGCCACACCATGTCACTCCCTCTGTGGTTCCAGTTGCCTCAGAATACATCTGAGCCTAGTACGCAGCCTTCCCAGCCCACTATGATATGCCTCTGCTTCTCCAATCACCCTTTCCCTGGCCCACGGGCACCAACCACCTGCATTCTGCTCCTGCAGCCGGAGCCCCTGCATTTAGAGTTTCCTCTTCTTCCACCGCTCAGCACAGATGGTCTCAACTCAAACGTCATCTCAGAGGGAATCTCCTGACTACTCTCTAAGCCATTATTCTATTTCATTATATTTGTGGCACTTACAACACACTGAAATGCTATGGCTGGGTTACCTTTGTACATGTTTACTACCTGTCATCCCCACTAGCAGGGCAGCTTGTGAGAGAAGTCTCTTGCCTTCTGTTCACTGTTCTGCCCCAGGCCCAGGATCAGAGTTGGTATGAGGGCAACATGCAGCCTCAGCACACCTTAGTGTTTACTTCAGTGATTAACAGTCCTTTCAGCCACACATTAAATCAGCCGCTATAAAATATAAAAATTTCACTACTAATGAAGAAAATTAATGACTATTTCAATAATGTTAACTTTTCTTATTAATGTATTCAACAAACATTTATTCAGCTCCTACACTTCTCTGTGTTTCAGCTACAAAGATGAATATACAGTTGTGTTGGGGAAGTAGGGAGATGAAATGAGAAAAGTGTTTATGTGGAAGGAGATCCACAAATAAGATAAACTATAAACAGTGTGACTGTCATGTCTTGGAAGTCTTAATGGGTGAGCAAGGCACAGCTGGGAGAGGGGAGGGTCAGAGGGTGGGTCATACTGGGGCATTGAGGAAAAACCAACAGAGCTGCCAGGTGTGTTTGGGACTAAACTAAAGCAGTTTCCCTGTTGATGGATAAAGGTGTGTCATATCAATACTTGAGTTTTTTGGGGACTGTTACTAGGAGACGACCACTTCTTTTTTTTTTTTATAAAAGATGACCAGTAAGGGGATCTTAACCCTTGACTTGGTGTTGTCAGCACCACGCTCACCCAGTGAACGAACCGGCCATCCCTATATGGGATCCGAACCCATGGCCTTGGTGTTATCAGCACCGCACTCTACCGAGTGAGCCACAGGCCGGCCCGACCACTTCTAAAATACGCAACTTGCAAGTGTAGGGTTGGAGGATGGATTCAAGCCAGATTCTGTGTTCTGGCTGGATTTATCCACAGGCTTGCTCAGGTGGGTTCAATTTTTTGAACAGCAGCAAGATGACCACACACATCTCCCTTTTGGGACTCCTGAGGCATCCATCCGGGACTGCTCTTTTCAAAGACCACTGAGATCAACACTGTGATACACACTCTTCCCTGACACAGCCAGGCACAGAGCACCCATGTGTCTTCTCCACCATTCATTCGGAAGCACTGACACTTTAAACAGAACAACTGCAACTAAAAAGTCAGGTGCTCTCCATCAACAAATGCCCAGAAATATTTTCCCAAGCTGCCATCTTGCCATCCTTTTGTCAAACTGGAAAACACTCTACATTTCTGCCAAGTTTGCAATGAGTTTCAGTTTCTTATCATAATCATGAAAATAAGGCATAAATACATACTCTATAAATAAATATCTCAACAAAGAAAAGAAATAAACAAAACAGACCAATGAGTTCTCTTGTCTTTGCCTCTATCTCCCCAAGAAGAGTTTCGGGATTGGCACTGGTTTTCTCTTCCTCCATGCAGTAAGTTTCCAAAAACTTCTTATACTCTGGATCTATAAATTAACGAAAAAAAGAAAACGAACACTCCTCCTCAACTCCAGGAGAGGAAATACGTTTGATCTGTGTGTTTCACAGGCAGCATTTGAAAAAGGACTCACCACCTTCAATGCTTCCGGTCTTGGCATCCTTTTTCTTTAGCTTCTTTTTGGCTGTCTTCTGGAACGGAGCAAACTCGACCACTGCAGGATATTCTACACCTTTAGCAGGAAACACATTCCAAAAACCATCCTGAAATTCTACTACATTCATGTTGAAAAATAATGATCTAGCTTACTTAAGAATTAAGCATAACAAGAATGCATTATTACTATTTAAACTATAATTTAGTTATATTTCCAAGCACCGGCAACTCTACCATGTCAAACTCCAGATTCAAACAAATGATGAACTCGTGGTAGAAGGAGCAATTATTTATTAAATACAACGATTCATCATGTAGAGGTGAGTACATTCAAAATCCATCAAAGTTTTCACTTTAAAAGGGTGGACTTTACAATATGTAATCAACACCTCAATAACCCTGACTTTCCACCCCCCTCCCAAATAGTTTATCACTGGAATACCTTTAGTTGGGTTTCTTACTTATATTTTAATTTTTTTTATTTTAAAACATGAATTCAATTATCAATCTGTTACAAAACTTCAAGAAAATTACTTTGCTTAGAAGAGACATATGGCTAAAAGAAGGGGCTTTAAAGGGTACACGATAAGTAATATTCCAAGTAAGCATATATTCCAGGTAAGATTTGCTTCAGATAGAAAAGGTGAGAATGGAAGTCACTAGAAACTGATTTTGTTGTTAAGTGGGGGGAAACAAACACAGAGAAATGTTCACTAAGAGAATCTGCTATATGCTTAATCAGCAAATGGAACGGTTCTACCTCAGTACTAAACCCACTGAGTAATCATTTTTAGATGTGTCAGTAAGTCAGGTCACTATCATATTGTAACCCTCATTTATCTGGAAGACACTTTTGTGCTAACCTCAACTACTGAGAATAAAGTCAAGAATCAAGACGAAGGCAGGAACCATATCCTACTCACCACTGCATCCATAAGGCCTGGTACCTGGCAGATACTTATTAAATGGTGACTGACACACTCCCCGACTTCAAAACTTATTACAAAGCTACAGTAATCAAACAGTGTGGTGCTGGCATAGAGAGAGACCACCATGGAATAGAATGGAAGCCCAGAAAATCCCTTGTACATATAGGCAAATGATTTTCCACAAAAGTACCAAGACCATTCAATGAGGAAAGGACAGATTCTTCAAAAAATGGTGGTGCTGATAACACCAAGGTCCAGGGTTCGATCCTTGTACTGGCCAGCTGCAAAAAAAAATAAAGGTGCTGGGAAAACTGTATATCCACATGCAAAAGAATGAAATTGGACCCTTACCTAACACCATATACAAAAATTAACTCAAAATGAATCAAAGTCCTAAATTTAAGAACTAAAACTATAAAACTCAGAAAAAAGCATAAGGGAAATACTAACATTGGATTTGGCAATGAGTTCTTAGATATGGCAATAAAAGCACAGGCAACTACAGTAAAAATAGATAAGTTGGACTACATCAAAATTAAAAACTGTGCATCAAAGGACACAAGCAACAGAGTGAAAAGGCAATCTATGGAGTGGGAGGAAAAATTTGCAAATCATACATCTGATGAGGGGTTAACGCCTAGAATACACACAGACCTCCTATAACTAGACAACAATAAACTAAATAACCTGAATAAAGAATGGACAAAAAACCTGAATAGGTATTTCTCCAAAGATGATATATAAATGGCCAACAAGCACATGAAAAGATGCTCAACATCAATAATCATCAGGGAAATGCAAATCTAAACCACAATTAGATAATCACCTCAAACCCATTAGGCTTTCTACTAAAAAAAAAAAAAAATTCGGAAAATAACAAGTGTTGATGAGGATGCACGGCAACTGAAATCTTTGTGGAACTGTTGGTGGGAATGTAAAATGGTGCAGCTGCTGTGGAAAACAGCATAGCAGTTCCTCAAAAAACTAAAAAGAGAATTGCCACATGATCTACCAATCCCACTTCTGGGTATATGTCCAAGAGAATTGAAAGCAGGGTGTCAAAGACATATTTGTACACCATGTTCATAGCAGCATTATTCACAATAGCTAAAATGTGGAAGCAAGCCAAGTGTCCACTGACAGATGAATGAATAGGCAATATGTGGTCTATCCATAAAATGAAATACTATTCAGCCTTAAAAAGGAAATTCTGACACATGGTATAGTATGGATGAATCTTGAGGACATTGTGTGCTCAGTGAAATAAGCCAGTCACAAAAAGGCAAATACTGTACGATTCCACTTATGTGAGGTACCTAGAGTAGTGAGGGTTAGGGTTCGACAGAAAGTAGAGTGGTGGGTGCCAGGGGCTGGAGGGAAGGGGCAATGGAGAGTTTAATCAGCAGAGCTTCACTGCAAGGTGAAAGGAATTCTGGAGATCGGTTGCACAGCAAGATGAATATACTTAACACTACTAAGCTGTACACTTCAGAGAGGATAAGCTGGTAAATTTTGTTATATGTATTTTACCAATATTTTTTAAAAGTAAAAAAAAAAAAGGTTGTTGAATAAATGACTGAATAAATGAGCACTCAACAAAAATGTCATTCATTTGTTTTTACCCACAGGAAAAATCCCTTGGCCTCGGCTCAATCACTCTTTAACAATCTTTTCTATTTTCTAATTTGTTAGCCCTCAGTGGAGAAGGAAACACTGAT